TTTTTTTCCAATGTGATGCGAAATGTAGCAATTGGCCTGTATAGTTGGTGTTTTTTTTCGCTGAAACAAAACCTGCACTTTGTGCTGCGACACTAAAGAATGGTGAGACACTTGAAATTTGTTTCGGCTTTGTCAGACAGATCAATGTTTCGAGATGATCCGAATGATTTCAAATCGTCAAGAGAATGATTCTCAAGCCATTGGGAAAAGAAGAATGTCCGGCAATGACAATTGAATCTAGCCATGGTTTTCGAGTGCATGAAATATAGGCTGAAATCGATTTTGGATTCGACCACTGAAAATACCTTTTCCTTCACCCGCACCCAACCCTGCCATCCATACCCACACCCACCCTCGTAGAACGAAAGAGATCGTGACAGGTCTTAATTACTCTGGAAATTTTTCATATTCTTATTTATCGTTGTTCGATTTTATCGCTTCATTTATATCTCTTTTTTTTCTTATATTCATATAAATGTCAATGAAATAAAATGGTTTCTACAAACATACTCAAAAATTTTAGTTTATAAATTTCTATTCCCAAAGTATAGACGATAAAAGATGAAAAAATCAATCATCGAATAAAAATAGTGAACCTAATTTTGTTCTCAACAATGTACATATTTCAAAATACTTGATACAGCATACAATTTATTGCTATATATGAGTTGGTGTAAAACTTTATCAAATATATGAATAATATCCATGTAACTAATATCATTGAAATAGATCATCGTAATTTTAAATTCTACTGCTCTCTAGAAAAGAGAAAATGTTCATTCGATATACAATTTTGAACGAAATAAATACAGAAAGAAAAACGTGATAAGTTACACGCATATATATATATATGTACATATAGTATATATCCTATATTCGTTAAATTTAAATTTCAACTATATACTTAAACGTTTAGATTTGAATAATTTCAATGTCGACTATTGATCCTCGTGAATGGTGTAAATTTTTTCCAGCAGATATTACTACAGAATCAGATTCAGCTCTATTTATTCATCGTCTTTTTACTGTCACTTTATCAGCATTAACAGCTAAACGACATATTTTTTCAAATGATCATTTTTCATCAAAAAAACTTGGTCCATTATTTGTTCCATTATTTACTCGGCCAATATCAGAAATTGAACAACAACGATTTAATTCAACAGTTTTTACATGGGTATTCAAACTATTATTATTGACATTTTTTTTCTTTAGGTTTATTTCATAAAAAAAATTTTTTGTTTCAGATTCAAGGTGTATCTCAAGCTATTTCTAATGGTTATTTAAAATTAGCTACTTTTTTTATTATTTCAAAATTAGATGATTCAGTACTTGAAATGTATGAATATTATTTTGCTTATAATAGTAGTGGAATTGATAATCATAATGAAAGTTTTTTAAGTACAACATCAATTGATGATATTCAACAACAAGTATTAAAAGCATTGGAACAAATTAATCAATTTGTTGATGAACGTCTTAAATCAATTGTTAATCGATCAAATTATCGTTTTTGTCTTAAAATTCAATATAATACATCAATAACACCTAATGATTATCAACCAACTGGATTTGTTGATTCACATGATATTATTTCACCAATTAATTGGAAAAATATTTTAACAACTAAAATAGCAAGTTCAAGAAGAATTTTAGCACAAATTAAAACATCATATCATAAAATGTTATTAGTTTTTCGAACACCAACTATGAATTCAACTATAAATAAATAATTGTACATTTTGTTCTTTATTTATTGTAACAATTTTGTGAAAAATTAGATTGTAAAAAAAAATATTAATAAATTATATAGATCTTACAGATAGATAGAAAAATTTTTCTATTTAATTTAAATATATCAGATAAGTTAAAATGATTGCAACAACATTCAGTATTTTGAAAATCTTTGAATATACATAATTTCTATAATGTTATATTGTTTTCAAAAAGCAATGTTATTCAGCTGCACGATTTCTTTAAAAAAGAGCTGATCACTTTGTGAACATAAGTCAAATGAGTTTTTCTTTTTTTGTCATACTTCATTGATTTGCTTCTTCAAATCGTTTCCTATTTTGCCCTTTTGATAATCAATAATTCTTATTGAAATAATCTCATACAAAGTAATCTAATGGGCTTATGTCCGATGAAATTAGAAAGCTATTGATCTTTAGATATAATACTTGAGATTTCTGAAGCTTTTCCCGATCATTATAATGAACACAAAAAGACATCGCAAAGAAACTGATCACCATAATTTAAAGAATCTTTTCGTGAGAAAGTAAAGAGTTTTATGATGCATGTTAAAAATATGATTCAAAGTTTTTATGATTTGTTGATGATGAAATCTATGCAAAATAATCAATATCATTATCATTTTTGTTTCTCTCAAAATAATAGGAGACTTAATCGGTACGTACTATATTAATTCTCGCCTTCTAAAACAATCATTAGAAACATTCAATGAAGTTTTTCATGGTCATTTTTCTAGAGAATTGTGTGGCACATTTTTTGAAAAATAAATTCAACGTTGAAAGATTTATTTGTGTTTAGATATTTGAAAAGTGTTCCATATTGCAATCATTTGAACTCTACCGATATATCAATCATTATTAACAATATCATTTGCAGTAATAGTGAACAGAATAGATCATTTGTACAATTCATAGTAACACTAGGAATGAAAGAATAAATCATCTTATGAAAAATTTTCATTACAACTATACTCAAAACGGCTCCTCGTATTAATCAATCATCAACATTACTATACGTTATTGTTACTCTACGCATTACTTTTACAAAATTTTTACTTAAAAGAAAACTTTGTTTTCATACGTCTTGCTATTAAAGATCTTGAAGAACTTCATCTATAATAATTCGTAATTTCGCGTATATTGGTTGCACATTATATCACCGTAATTATTTGACACGCTTACATGTGGAACTTCTTTTCATAACAGATTTACTAATCGTACACTTCCTGATAGGACCTGGATGTTTTAAACAGATGTTTCAAGTGATTTTCACCTACTGATATTGTTTAGCAATCAAATCTCTGTTTCGTACACATACCACTTCGAAGAAGAACTAATTCTAATATGCTGTTGTAGTCCGCAAGACAACATGTATTTCTCGGTAGATTCAAAAATTAATTGTTTTGTTGCATTATTATAAGTTTCAAGTAACGATTTTCGTTGTTTGTTCTTCAATTTTAGACACATGATGCTATTTTTTTCTTAAAATCTTTATATAAGATTTGCAGAACACAAAATTCTCTACAAGATGCCTTACATCAAAAGTTTTCATCAATTAATTATCATATTAAAAAAGAACTCACAGCAGAAAAATTCAGTTAAAAAAAAAACGTAATTTTTTAAAAATCTTTTTTCTTTTATATTTCAATTTCTACAACTCCATTCAATCATATTGTCGTAGTCAAAAACTTTTTTCAGAAATTCAGTTTGATGTAAAAAACTGCTTGATGTAAAGAAATAATATGATAATTTCGACCATAAAATTGACTTTCTTAACGTGCTCGTCAAAGTTCTCTGAAATATTTTTGTCTCTTTATGTGGACATTTAATTTGATTTGTTATTTACAATCGAATTTTTTATAGGTTGATATAATATATATGTAAGAGATGAATAGATTTGTAAAATATTTATTCGATTGTTTTGTCTAATAATTTATCATTAATATTACTATTTGAATAAATATCTTGTTCGGATTTAAATGCACGTTTTTTTTCTAAAGTTTTCTTTGTTTCTATACGTTTTATTTCTTTTCTTTCACTTTTTTCTCGTTTATATTGTGCAACAAGACTTTGATCACCATTATAATAAATATCAAGTCTTTCTTGTAATTGACGACGTGCAAGAAAACGATTTTTTTCTAAAAAACGAGTTTGTTGACATGTAACAACAATACCTAAAATAAGAAATATTTCCATTTAATTATATGATAGAATATTTTTTTTGAAGGAAATTTGTTTTCAATAAACTAGGATAATATAATTAAAAAAATTAGGGCAATTTTTTTTTAATGTATACTTTTTACCTGTTGGAATATGTTTTATTTGACAACAATTTTGTGTTTTATTTATTGCTTGTCCACCTGGTCCTGAACCTTTGATGGCTTTTTCTTCAATATCTTTTTCATCAATTGGTGGTAAACGTTTATACCAACTGTCAGGTAATGCTGTTGAGATGAAACGAATATTGATAATCGACGGACTAAAACATGCATGCAAAAAAAAAAATTAATCTTTACTTGAACTTTATGTTTCTTTTTAAGCACATAAAATAAAAAAGATTACATTTTGAAAGAAATTTTTTTTGAACAAAATGAAAAAATTTCCAAAATAATACAAAAACAAATATTGTTTTCAAGACAAGTTTTCTTTAATTGAAAATATTACTAAAACTTTTAGAGATTCTCTTCTTTTTTGAAAATAAATACAAAGACTCTCTGTTAATTGCCTTACAAGTTCAAGTTTGAAGTATTGTTGAATATTATTGATTTTGTTTTAGAATGTCTATGATTTTTCAATTTTTAAATCTTTTATAAATTCTTTCTTTTATTAATTAATTAAAAATGACTATAATCAAGTTTAAATATGAACGCTCAAATTTATTTCATGTCTCTAATTCTAAGCTACTGAATTTATTCAATCAAAGT